CCCCGCAGCACCCGCCGGGCCTGCCCCCTTGCTGAGCGCCGCTGCTCTCACGGCCTGGCCTGTGATCGGGGCCCTGGGGCTGCCTGAGACCCCAACCCTCTCCAGGGATCCTGCCTGAGATGCCTGCTTTACCACTGCAGAGTGAGGAGATGGGGGGAGTCACAGCTGCCAAGAGGGGCCTTTACCGTGGGCCCCTCGCCAGCCACTCACCAGCTGCACTGAGTGGGGAGGTTTCCACACCTCTCCCCTGGGTCGCTGAGGCCCCGCGCACCTGTGCCTTAATCTTCCTTCCCCTGTGCTGCCTGGGCACCTCCCCCACCCCCTTACCCCCCGAGAACTTTGCAGCTTCCCTTCCCGCCCCATTTTTCATGTCCTGCTGAAAAATGTGTGTGAAGAATTATTTATTTTCGCGAAAGCACATGTAATAAATGCTGCAGCCCAGCCTCTGCCCACTTCGCGTGTATGTGACTGCCCGCTTGCTTGCAGAGCCTGGTGGCCAGGGTCTGGCCCTGTCTCGGCTGACTAGCGTCTCCGCAGCTGCAGGCCAGGTCTCCCAGCATCGCACTCCTGGGCCTGGCATTTGGAACCTGCCAGGTTGGCCTAGGAACCCCCTGCTACAGACACATGTGAGCCTGCTGCATTCCTGCCCACCCCCGTCTAGGACCCATCCACATGCCCCCCAACTTGCCCTCGGCCTCCTGGCTGACCCTTGGCCACAGCCTTCTGAGGGCCAATGGAAATATTTGGGACCGAGATCCTTGGTAAATAAAAACCAAAATGTTTACAAAAGGTGTCACCTGCCCCTCCCCACACACAGCGGGGGTGTGGCTGCTTTCAGGCTTGGACAGCTGTGGGGGCTGAGGTTCCTGAAACTGAGCACAGGGGACCTGGGAAGCCTGGGCACTTGCTCCACTTGGCGTTTGGCCCAAAGTTCTCTGTCCCCCCACCCTCACAAGCCTCTCTGGCCTGGTGCACATACCTTCTTGTTCCTGTGCCCAGCCGGTACACAGGTTGGGGCTGGGATATGGAGGCAGGTGAGGTCCTAGCTGAAGGGGACTCAGCCTTGTGCTGAGGAAGTGGTTTCCTGACAGCATCCTCTGCATGGCGGGGAGGCCACGAGGGGAGAAGGCCAGTCCTTGGTAACCAAAAGGGCCCCATGGCCTGAGGGTGCTGGAGTGGAGCCCTAGGCCTTACTGGCTGTCCAGAGCTCTTAGCCCTGTCAGAGTCAGTCCCCACCTGCTCCTCCCAGAAGGCGTGGGGTGGCTGTGGTGGCAGCCCCCTGCCAACAATAACGGTTGGTTCTGGGATCTGGGACTGGGCGAGCCGGCCAGGCAGGTCCCTGGTGCGCCTGTGCCAGAGGCCACCCCCCTTCTTGGTTTCAAGGTCCTGTCCTATAAGCCCAGCCTTTTGTGGTTCAGCTGGGTCGCAGGCTGGATCCCAGGCCCCTTCCTTGAGAAGCAGAGGCCTTGCACCCCTCCAGGGTTGCTGGGCCGGAGAGTGATTCCAGCCCTTCAGGTGGGTGCGGGGGCCAGACGGGCTGGGGAGGGCTCCTCGGTCTTGGGTGGAATTTTCTCCCCACACGGGAGGGTTTCATTCCGGCCTCAGGCAGCTCCTCCTTCCAGTCCTCCCCCAAGGGGAGCCCCAGTCAGGGCTGGGCCCCAGAAGGAGGGCCAGGAGGTGCTGTGGAGGTGGGACCTCCCTGTGTCCCCAGCTCGTTCACCCGTACGTGTACACTGAATACTGCTAAGTTAAACATTTTCTAGCATTACATGTTCATTGTTTTGTTTTGAGATGGAGTTTCGTTCTTGTCGCCCAGGCTGGAGAACAATGGCACAATCTCTGCTCACTGCAACTTCTGCCTCCTGAGTTCAAGTGACTCTCCTGGCTCAGCCTCCCCAGTAGCTGGGATTACAGGTTAGGGTTTTTTGTATTTTTAGTAGAGATGGGGTTTCGCCATGTTGGACAGGCTGGTCTCGAACTCCTGACCTCAGGTGATCCGCCCCTGCCTCGGCTTCCCAAAGTGCTGGGATTACAGGCGCCTGGCCTACATGTTTATTGTTTAAAAACTGGGAAAGTATCGAGAAGAAAGTAAAGGCTCCCCACCCCTAGAGATAACCGCTGAAAGTATTTGGTCTGTTTCCTGCCCGGCCTTTTCCTACACACACTTTTTGGTGCCTAAAGTCAGGCTCCCCACGGACAGGAGCGGCCCCTCCCAGACGCTGGTGTCTGCGCCCGCCCCCCGCTGCCTTGTCCCAGCTCTGGGGGGTCCCTGGGTCTCCAGGGCACATCGTTGCTCCACTGCTCGCTCGAGCCTCCACGGGTCGGGCAGCCGGGGCAGGGCAGAGAGG